TAGGCTATACGATGATGATGATGATTCTCAGTTCATTACACTGAGGTATGTGGCGAATAACTGGGTTGTTCTGCATCAATGTGATGCAGTGTAGTTATCGTAAGTTGGCCGGCCAAAAATTCTCCATGCCTTTTTCTCGATCCATGCTTGTTAGCGTATATAGTAGGTTCGTAACATTTCATATTGATACATAGGCTACTCGAGAGTAGTATAGGGGTATATCTAAAACCCGACATTGCTTAAACTAGGAATGATTCATGTAGACCGATTTGGTAGCTTCAGTGACCAACCGTTTCACGTAACTCATCTATGAGCGTCCGCTTCTTTATTCCTGTTAACTGTCCACCACTTTCGTTTCTGTTCAACTGAGCTTGTTTTTTCTTCCCCATCCACTCTTCTTCGTAGCTCTATTGTATGGTCAACCATACATTGATCACCGGCTTGCTAGAAAGCCTGATGTCAACGCAATAACAAGAATAACAGAACATGGGGGGCGGGGGGATGAGACACAGCAGAGTAAGAGGGGACCAGACAGTTGGATAACGAAAACCACCACTTAATCCAATTTAGCATAAAGGAATCTGATGAGGCTTGTCATGGCACACGACGCGCACATTACGCGAACTCAGAGCAACCAGGTCGACGGAATAAAACACGCATGCCTCAGAATTCAAGTGCATGCAATATTTGTAAGGCTAAAACAAACAGGGATGTATACTTGCTAATTGCCTTTGTGTAGACGAAACCGATTACTACCTGGTAATTCAGTAGTTATGATGGATCCAAAACTGTCCAAATCAGCGGTTTTTCTATTGCATACCCGTTTCAATGTGACATTATTATTATTATTATTAAATTATGAAATATTGAAGTTTGAGACTTGTTTAGGGTTGATGTAGCAAGTATTTTATAGCGTTCTTTCAATATATTGATAAACAGCGTGCACAACAACCAGACTTTGAAGCCTTGGTTGAAAATGCAGCGAAAATATCAAGGTACGTGAATCATAAAGCCCAAGCCGTGAAATCTGTTTTCAACCCAATTAAAGGAGCTGTTCACGGTAGTGGTCAAGTGGGTAAGGTCATCAAAATAGTGATCTGTAAGTCCGGGGTTCTAACCGCTTCATCGCTGCCCATCTCCCTCATTTCTACATTTTCCCAGACAGCCTTTGCATTATCGTGGCCCACTTCTTGAAAGTTGACTGTACGTAGTATATTCAGGACATACAAAAGGATGCGAAAAGACATTTTTAAGATTAAGTGAACTTTAGATCGAATTTCTTGCTAGATAATCAGGAAATAGCTTAATAAACATTCTGAATCACCTCAAATTATCGAATTCGATTGTGATTTACACGATTGTCATATTTATGTCCATTGGACTCGTTCTAAAGGAAAAAGGTTTGAAGAACAGATGTATCAGGTCACAATTGAATGTCAGCCGACTGCACCAAAACCTCCCCTTCTATCATCTTCCATCTCCTGAGGATAACGACTCTTGTCACTGTATCGCCGATGCAAGAACAAAGAATTCTCGAAATGTGTGGAATTGATGTGTCACACTTCCAATTTCTATTTAGTTTTTCCCCAGGAACTGCTACACTCTCCTCCCCCCCTGATTACAGCTTCACCATCTTTAAGTGCATACCAATTTTGTAACTGCGTGCTACCTGGTGCGTCTCCTATTCGCGGATGAGACCACGACCACCAAATTGGTGACTAGCTGTGTCTAAGGTGGGTTCAGGCCCATTAAATGAGCTGCAGCAGCACTCGAGGACGTGTTGGGTTTGCATTTGACCATCGTCCTTCTCTACTGTCACATGGGGAATGTAGCTTGTTACTAACAAGGCTATTGTCCCCTCCAAATTCCTTCTACTGGATGAGGTGAATGGACCAATCCATTGACCATTTACTATTCCGGGCCAGTCTTATTGCCTTGCAGGTTGCTTTCAGATGTGCAGCATAAAATCCCCGACAGTGCTTAGATTACCGCTTGTAATCGCATTCTCGGAATCGTTGTGATATCCGTGGAACCGACTTGTGCGTTCATGGAAGGTAATCGCGCAAAATTAAGAAATTAAATGAATCACATCCATGTACGGTATATCTTTATACTCTTAGCTTTACTCTTCTTTGTGTGTTCCAGTCAAGTCTAAGCACCAATTGGGTGAATTTTCCACAATTTCAGCGAATACGGTATTGAACAATTACTATAGAAGGAACAAACGTAGAATGTGACTACCATGCCGAAAACTCATGTGTAGTAAAAACGCGTTGTACAAGAAGCATAAGAAAATGTGAAGCGATGGAAAGTGCCAAGAGACACAGGAGTGGGAAGAAAAAACTTAAAGAAATCGCGAACAGGAAGATACAGTTAAACGTTAATTGAGCAAGTGACCGATGTTAACAGGTACTAAACACGGATCAAGTGTTGGAAGCATTGCATAGAAGCGTATAGAAGAATATAGGAGCGGACTGACACAACTGTGTTGTCCTAAGTGTCTACAATAATCGATGGATGTGAATTGTCTCTTGCGCATTGACCCGCGATTCGTCTTTTTCGCATCCATCATCCTCAACTCATTTCTCCAAGGCGCTGACCATTAATTACAATCCAATTTCGATAATCTAAACGTCGCTGAGATCAAAATTTCGCTACTACCGAAAATTTTCCATATTAACCCACTTCATCCGATTGACATAAACTCGTTTAATCCGGAATGGTTACATTTCTTTTTGTTTTCATCCCATCTAGATGCATTGATTGTTTGCGCTACAATCAAGCTCATCCTGAAAATCCCAAGCTAGTGCCGTATCGAGATTCCAAACTGACGCGGCTGTTTCAGGGCTTTTTTACCGGTCGCGGTAAAGCTTGCATGATAGTCAATGCCTCTCCGAGTCCGGATTTATTTGACGAGACGCTGCACGCGCTGCGGTTTTCCGCCTTGGCCAAGCAGATTGTGGTTCAAACAAATGCCATTTTAGAAACGGCCATTGTCGATCCGGCCCAAAAGGTCCAACCATCGGGACGTCAGTTACCCAAACCTGCGGTCACTCGACGTGAGAAACCTACGGAGTAAGTTTCCACCAATTTGCTTATATATTTGAAACATCAAAATGAAAGAAAAGTTTGGCTTAACAGTGTTTTCTTGCATCACTTGTGAAATGTGTCTTCGTACAAAATGTGTACTCATCGAGCAATTTGCCGTTTTTGAGACAACAGTATGCATATCGTGGCCACATACACACACACACACACACGGATACCTGTCCTCCAGTAAGAGATTAAGGGAAAGAACAAGGTTTAACCGTAAACCCTCTGAAATGAGATCAGGGGCCTTATGTAGTCTGTGAATTCTAGAACCAGCATTTACGTCGCCGATTCCTATGAGTGAACAGTGGACTTTAGTGACTGGTGTTCACCCCTCCTACTGTTCATTACAATGCTTTCTTCGTGACAGGCAGCTCCTCTATCCTATTGATCATAAGGTACAGTTTAGGAATATGCGGGTTGTCCTTGTTTTCTCTCGTGGCTCAAATTGCATCGTGGGAATAATCGTTCTGATTTTTGACACGCGAGCGTTCTGTACACTCTGCTTCAATTACAATTATTTTCATTCAGTTTGAGTCCATCAAAAATTCTTCCTTTTCTTCTAGTAACCAACCGGTTTTACGAACACCTGATACTATTGTTCCGAACAAAAATTCCAAACCCGTTGTCGCTGAGGCTTCGGCAAATTGGGATGAGGAAGAGCTGTCCTCCACTCTCGTGGAAGGTCTTCCATTTGGTCTTGACGGTGGGGAAGCTGAAGCGTCGTTTGATCCGGTAGGCTCTCCGCGCACACCTACAGGAGAAAACACGGGATTAATTCTTGATGATTACACCAAAGATGTAAATTCAACTTTTGTTTTTAATTCGTTGTTAAAAAAACGTTTTCCAATTCATGAATTGTGTTAAGATTCGGAAAATCCTCAGATCTTTGCTCCTATGTATCCCTGAAATTGTTGATCATGTTTTGATTTTCGGGTAAATTGTGTATGAGGACTAGTCCTGATGATACATATTTATGCTGCAGGGGTCAGTTTTTGTTCGTGCTGCATCATTCAGCAGCACCAAAGTTTCTGAACAGTCCTTGTATTGTGTTTCTAAAATATTGGAAAACGGACATTTTTCAGGAAACTTCATCTGTCACTGTCACTCATTGAAAAAACGGTTACAAACGAAACGATCGGCCACCACCGTTTTCTATAAACGTTTTCAGCAAACCAATGGAAGCACGCAGATAAATTTATTTGCAGCAGAAGTCTATTTAACGACTGGTAAAGAGCACTGGACAGTTGCATCGTCCTCGTTGGGACTCATCAGCAGCGCGTACTTTTTGTGTTCCCGCAGTGATGGCCCGGTGGTAAAGTCACCAAGTTATCGCTTCGGGGAACCTGTGTTCGAATCTTACCACCACCTTACTTCCCACTGCGTTGTATGGTAGCCCTTTGATTGGCCGCTTCCACCTTCCTGAAAGTTATCTCATTTAATGAATTCAATAAAAGGAAGTAGAAGTGAAAAGAAAAAGAAGAGCAAGTGACTCGAAACGTAAAACGGGGGCGGGGTTTACTCAGTCGCCAGTTACAAATGAGACGTAGATACCTCTCAAAACGGAAGCACATTTTTTCAACCTGCCTAATAACTTAAACATGAGTCTACCAGAATACCAACCGGGCTCCGGTACATGGGACCCACCTTAGCCGTTGCCAGCACATTTCAAGCACCATTCACCCTCTCTTACGCATGCTCATTGTCGTTCGTTGAGCGTCCAGTTTCGGTCAAGTTTGTAATGCATTCCAAACCGATGAATATGGTAGGTGAATGACTGTCTTAACTGAGCACATTACAAAGTGGTTTATTGTAAGGAACATTCATGTCACTCTGGTTCGCGCTTTTTATGTGGCCTTTGAAATACATACTTCTAAATCTTCATATATTTCAGTTCATCCCTCCATTTCAGTAGTTTTATGAAAACAGAGCACCAAGCTCGGGGAAAATCGATACCTGATCTTACCTCACCTTGCTAAGGCTAGCTCCTTGGAAAGGATAAGCCGGCTCCATGAATGTCTCTGATTGCCACCGTAGAAGACATGGTCATGAAGCTACTTAGGAGTTTGGTGAGAGAAACCTTCCCCGCGTCACTCGGCATTTTTTTATTTTGAGGGCGCACCTCCACCAAGTGCGAACTGCAAGGTAGCTGGAAGTAACCCGTCGCCTCGGAATTGAGGGGGTCAGTGACTTCAGTTTTAAAAGACCAGTCATATCGATCTTTTTCACGACACTCAATGGGTTTATGCGGCTTTTACACAGGAGTCAGGTGACCAGCCTGAAACCCACCACACCCTGGTAGTGCCACCGCTGTTTGATCTCGACTGCTTATTTGTTGACGGTATGCTACAACTTATTCACAGCTAACCTTCTTTGGTGAAGATATCCCCTATCCATAACACGGAAACGCTCCTGATAGCATTTAGCTCTGCTTAACCCGAGGGTATCCAGAATACCAGGACTTTGAACTAATATTGAAGTTTTCTCTTTTATTCTGGTGTAACACAGAGGCCGACAGAATTTGTGCTTATACTCATCATCTGGGTCGTAGACTGCTATTCTACTTGGAGTCGAGTGCAGTGGGTCTTTCTCGAAATTGTGATAAAACAATCCAAACCACAAAACAGTGAGGAATAGTTTGAGTTCACTATCTATCGCGGTTTGGTTTTTGATCTACCAGTCAATACATCCTTTGCATTGGGCTTTCACATCCAAGGTATCTACACACTCGCTTGCAATCCATTTTTTACCCCTCACCCTCAGATGAACTCGCTACCCACTGTCCATCAACCTATACACGCCTCGGGTATTAGCTAGTCCTCCCATTTCAGTAAACGAAATCCTCACAGTTAAAGGACGACGAAAAGGCCTTACTCAGCAGAGTCTAAACGAAGGTCCTAAGACGAGCTTTGGGCAACGTTTTACTT